GAAAAAGTATGTGACAACTAAATTGAGACTAAGAGTAATTATTACATTTTCCTTAAATCAAATCACTGTTAACGCTAAAAAATAGAAGAGATGGTGTGGAACCAAGTACTTATTGATAAAAAATGGAGAGAGCTTACAATAGAGAGAATGATAAAAATAAACCTCTTCCTAGGTCTAATATTGGGCATTTATAGGATATTACATAAAGTCACCCTAGGATTACAATTCTACTTGGATTGGAGTTGGGTGTTATAATTTTAATGGAATTTAGCCTATTTATCATAATAGGACTCTTTTAGGATGTCTCCATGTATCCTAATCCTCGTAGGATTCAATTTAGGGTATAACATTTGGCCCCCCAATGAAAAAGTTTGAGTGTAGTGAAAACTTGCTTTGTTTCATTCCAACATAGGTTTCCTAATAGGTAGCTCTCTCTCATAAAGTTTTGTTGCACTTGGTTCTGAATTTTGTGCAGGTTTTTGAAGCAGAACTTTGTGCAAAGCTCCTCATTTTCATAAAATGGAGTTTGAAACCTCTATTACTTACAAGTTTTTGGTCTTTGTGTTTTAGAGATTCTAAACGTTCATGGTAGAGGTTTTGTTTCCAATCGTGACTGCCTCGTTGAAAACGTTAGCTAGTAAAAAACCTGTGGGATAAAAATCTAGCTTAAGGGAAAAAGAGTGCAACACAGGTTTTCCACTGTGCTTAGAGCATTTGATGCAGCTATGATTAAAAACCCTGTGAGAATCATGTGTTTCATAAATCTTCTACATTTCACATAGATTTTGTGATCCCTTCATCTATCAACCTTTTTGCAGCTACTCTTTTCTTCTTTGCTATCTTCAAAATTTAGTGTTGAGCGAATGTTTTAGTTTTTGTCCATGATTAATGTAGATCTTTTAGATTTCTTTGTTTACTAAGGATGATGTTTTCTTATTCATATCTTGGGATGTTTTGCTTTAATTCCATTCTTTGTTGACTGTGTTGCATTTTCTTTTTCTTGAAGTTGTGTAATTCAAAACGTCCTCGTGCCATTCACTTTAATTCTCTTGCACATTTTTGCAGAAAGAGGTGTGTCATTGACTCTTCTGCCACAATTTCTTGATCTACATTATAGGTCTTTAAAAAGCTAATGTTTGTAGAGCTATCTATTAGTTAAGATCTTCTGTTTATTTCTTCTCTTGTTTGCCCTCCAACAAATAGTTAGATGAATTGAGAACTATCTTCATTATTTATGCTTTTTGTGGAGGTTTATAGAATCTGCACTGTTTCCTTCTTTTTAGCTTTTACAATGTTGGTCATATAACTCTCTAGCTCTTGGAAGTTCTAAGTCTCCATCCTTCCTGTTGAAAGTCTTTATGTAGAGCTTTTGTCAAGTTTCACAGCTTTGCAATAATCTTCATATTGATGTTGTCAAAATGAGATGTTTAATGAGAAATCTTCAAATATCACTAAAGTTTTGCACCAAAAGTAGGTTAATGAATTGTCTAGTAAGAACACAGCTATTAAAAAAATAATTTGAAAATTATTAATAATAAAATTTTTATATTATATTTTTAATAATCAAATTAAACAAATAATAAAAAAATGTATATGTGTACCAATCATTTTATTTTTTAATAAATAATTTGAAAATTTTTTAATTGACCTGATTAATTTCAAAAATCAAGATTTTTTTTTTATTTTTTTGGTTTTTTTATTATGTGCTTTTAGAACATGAGATAAGAATATATTTATTACATTTTTTATTATTAATCAAGCATAATTTACCTAAAAATAAAAAAATTAATACTAATTTTAACATTTATGACATATGAATATTTTTTACATGCTCATGATTGCCTGCATTATAGTTACTGCTTCCTTCAAAAACACAGTAAAGATCGGCAATACATATGGTAAGCTGAAAATATTGAGCACTAATTTAAAATCCCTTTTGAGAAACACAAATTAATTACATATCATTTCTTTGCATATAGGAATTGCTGTTGTTGGAGTTATGTTTATCACGACATGCATGGTTGCTCTTATAATGCTGGTTATGTGGAAGACTAGTGTATGGTGGATTACCCTCTTCTTTCTGATTTTGGGGACATTGGAAGCTGTATATTTATCCTCACGTCTTGTATAAGTTTAAACAAGGCGGCTACCTTCCACTAGCCTTTACCTTGGTCTTAATACCAATTATGTCAATGTGGTACTATGTTTACTGGAAAAGATAGTTGTTTGAGCTTGAGTACAAGGCCTCAGGTGAATTCATTAGATAATTGGCTAAAAAAACTGCAGTCAACAGGGTACCAGCAATAGCTCTTTTCTACTCCGAGCTTGTGTAGGGGATACATCCAAATTTTCCTCATTTCATGTCCCAAATTCCCTCCATTAATTCAGTTTTAGTGTTTGTCTTAATCAAGAAAATTCCTGTTACCAAAATTGCATTGGAGTAAAGGTTTGTGTTCTGACATGTGGAACCAAAAGAGTATAGGATATTGATGTGTGGTGAGGTATGGCTATACGGATGTGATGGGAGAAGCTGAGGTGTTTTGAGGGCCAGTTAGTGGGCACTTAATGAAATTCATCCACCATGAGTACTTGTTTACTGAAGGAGGGCCGTCTCTTGAGCCAGAAAATCCCTAGCACTCCTCTCTCCTTGTAACAGCAGTTGCTATAGAAGAATCAATGCGACAGCTGAACAACCTGTCTTGCTTCTTACGGTATCCATGGAGTTGAGGAGGACATACAATTTGTGCAGAAGGCAAATGAAGAAGGTGTGGTCTATCTCTTGGGAGAGGTGAGGTGGTAGCTTAGAAAAAATCAACTATATGCAAGAAGATAATTGTAAACCGTCTGTACTGTTTTCTTAGGAGAAACTTAAGGCAAGTGGAGACAGCATATGTAATCTCCCATGCTAGGGGTTCTATGGGTGGAAATGACATGAAATTTGAGAAGATTATGCACACAATTGTATATACACCTATGTAAAAATTGTAGTTTAAATAAATTTGTAAAATAAAATGAGAAAAATCATTGATATATATTTGATCTAATATTTTTTTATATTAGTCTCAATTTAATATTAAAATATAATACAAAATATAATTAATTCAATTAATTTTTTATTGTATTTTTAAGTTTATTTATTTTTACTTTTAAATTAAAAAATAATAATTTTTTAATAAATATATTATTTAGTATGTTAAATTATATTATATATCA